TGCATTATGTGTATGTCTGATAGTTTCGATACTTACGTAAAGTTTAATGATGAATATCAGCGGGCGTGTTGGATCGATTCAAACATGTGTAAACCTATATTGATTTCAAACAATGATTTTGTTAATTTGTAAATATTATAGTTTCCTTAACACTACATTTTTTCGCTAGTTGTTTTTAATAAAGAAAGCCACTTGTATAATATCGTGATATCATACACGATTAAGGTCAAACTGTTGACTTTGAATTTGGAATTTGGAGATTTTCACCGAGTACGCAACATTAATTAGGAGAAAGAGCAAAAACTCGAAAATTGTCTTGCAACCATATCAGAAGGATTCATTAATGTATTTTCACACCATCGTAATTCAAATAGAGCATGAAAAAACAATGCGCGAGCAAAATGGCGCTGTGCATTAAATAAAAATTATCACGTGGCCTTTTCCATATCGGCCTGGCTATCATCTCAAGACCCCCATATTAGGCCGAGAAATTTATTATATACTTTTTATCATATTAATAAAATTTCATCAAGTTGTTTTCACATGAGATAAATAACATGTATGATTTGTTTTGAGCCGAGTACAAATGGAATTGTTATTTCGAGACAATGTAGGGTTATTCTTTATAGACCACAACTCTGATATCTGTTCAAAATGAAATGTTTGGGTTAAAAACAATCCTTTTTGAATTTGAAGCGGACGACCTAAACATTCCGCGACAATGGATTGTATATTGACGTCATAAATAAAACACTACGGAAACGCAATGTCAATGTCATAAAAAAGGCGATGTACGGTTCGTGACTGTATATCACATATGGATATACGGTCAATGAAATTTGCCTGTTCATATAGCACATTTGCAACATTAATAAACAGACCCCCTGTCATGTCTTTGTGTGTCAGATATTATTCATAAACAGTCGACACCGAAAATACCAGAGTTAACTTGCGTGAGAGGCACGGTAACGGTTTATTTGCAATAGAAACCCTTGATATATGTTTACAGCCTTGGTATGAAGTTGTGGCTATTTCACTTCGCTCGTTACTCATATGCAAAAACTATCATAATAGTCCTAAATATATCATAAATATGAATAAAGTTGTGCACTGCTATATAGGATAATCAAAAGATTAAAAACATCATGACAGATATCATGGGGTATTTACGTTTGTCACAGAAAATCATGATAAAGATGGTACAGTAATATCTGTTCACACTATCTGTCAAAATTATGAATAAAGTTTTTTTTTATAAAACTAATGTTTTTACTTCGGCTTTTCAGGTGATATTACCACATTTTGAAGTTAAATAATGCAAAGATACATGTCTTACATTTAAAAGGTTTATCAGTTGTATAACACTCAGTTTTGACATATCTGAATAATAAAAGATTTTGCTTTCGTTGAGTTAAAGATGATCAAATGAACATATTTGAAGTAACACTTAAGGGTATACTTAGGTGAAATTGAGGAATTTTTGTCAGATGTTCTGACTCCTTGGTTTTTTCGTACGATACAGGGTACAGTATTTTGCCCCATTTCACCCATTTGTCTTTTAATATAAGACTTCAAAAGCTCATAAAACATTGTAAAAGGTCGTCTAACAAAATTTCAGCAGATTCTAGATTTCTTTTCTTTCGATTTGAGACAGAAATAATTCCAATGCAAATATAAAGTAAAAGTCAGCCTTTTCTCGCTATTTATCAAAAGTTAAATATCCCGAAAAAGAGATCAATAACCTATCACTATGTTTAGCTTATTCTGTTCCTTTACTTATGCTCTTCTGATTTATAATATCAATTTTGAATTTTAGATTTTTTTTTATTTCACCGAAGTACACCCTTAAATGGCATGCTTCGATTTTTCTGGATTATGTTAAATGAACCGGATAACAAAGGGACAATCAAGAGTCGTAGAAAAAACCGTATGTGGTATCAGGTGACCCGGAAGGGTAAGCGAATTCATTGCAGGTGCTCATTTGCTGGTATGCCCCCTTTGGTGATCTTACAATGAATTTATAGAGAACGGGATTATCGTTACGACATTAATTAAATTAGGGTTAATTTTCGTAATAGACATCATATTGCGGTCAACCGTTCATTAAACTTTTGATGGGACTATTTTATCTTTACCACTATGAACCCTTATTCAATAGTTTCATATACTTACTAAAAACAATACTCAAGGATATCATGATAGGTAACGTAAACTGTGGCATATTATATCAACTAAAATATATATTCTCCATAAGCAGGCGCTTCCAGAAAGTTGCTCTATCGCAATGTAAAGCTGAAATCAGTTCTTTTGTCTTCATTTATTGTCCCCGATATACCCTCACTGACAATTTCTAGATGGAAGTCGTTATAAGACAGAATTAAGTATATCTGTGGTATCATTTTATTTCAAGTTTTGGGGGATAATGAGATTTGAACATATTCTCGTAATTTGTATTATGTGTATTTTGTTTCAATGGGCATACCATTGTTTTACAGAATGTGGACATATTTAAGTCGTGCATTATAAATCAACAGAAAAAATATTTGAAAAAAGAAGCGTCTATCTACAGCATTATACTGTTATATTTCATAATATTGATTTTTCTCATTCATCGATTGTTTGCTATAGATATAATGTGATATGAGATATACTTCTATTTTAAATGCAACTCAATGAAAACAAAGCTTATAAACATCCCCGAGTCAACATATACATGATATAGTCAGGTTGTGTTAATTGCAGAGCTATATCAACACTTCTTCGATAATTGAGATTATAGCCATAAATGTCATGGTTCTAGTGTATTTTGTTTTTTTGATATTCTTCTACTTATTTTAATCCGTCACATCTTGCAATTGTTATCTGTTTTCTTTCAGAGGTCAATAAGCTTTATTAGCAATAGATGATATTTGATCTGATAAACTGACATAGAAACTTAAAAATTAAAAGCCATTATATTGACTATGAATTAGATAATTAGCCAAATATTGAATGAATTCCAAATTATTTTATTTCATTTTAGTACTGAAGTGCCATTTGTGATGCCAGCATCATGACATCTTTCTCATACGTGCATTAGAAATATAATTGAACTTATTATTTTGTTTAAAGTAAATAGACACAAAGGACTTACAAAACCATCGTTTCCCAAAATAATAAGTAGAAAACATGTTTAAAATAATCAGACAAATATTTTGGTAAAGTCTTAGCAGCCAATTTACAAACTAGGAAATGGACAACAGAGACAAGTAACACGGTAGCCATACAGTCAAGTGTGCTAACGCTTTAAGTTGTCGAATTACTGTTTTGATGACTTCAACTGCATGCATTGACAATTGAACAAACAATGACAAGAATGATAATCATCGTTAGTAGTGGGACCAAACCAACAATTATTCCCGGAGCTTCACTGAAAGTGACATCTCACTAGCAGCATGAAAAAATCGGAGAAACCACATGCTGTTTCATATAGATAAACAAACTCAATTACAAAATCTTCAAACAATTTGGACAACACATAAAAAAATAAGGAAATGTTTAACCAATATTTATATTGCTTTTCACAAAACCTTCTTTAGTCTCTCTTTACATTATTGGTGTGTGGTTAAGAAATGAAATTGTTATACAACACGAGCCATTTCACTTCTTTTTGAACTATAAAGCAATAAAAGAAAATATAGCTGTTCCAAATGCGATTTTATAATCTTCAAGTTGTATTTAAATTGAGAAAATTTGAGTATTTTCCAGATGTTTTCCCCCCTTAATATAGCATAATAGATAAAGGATAGACAAGCTATCACTTGACAGACAGATAGAAAAGAAGACAAACATTAAAGTATATATATAATCAGCTGGAGAAACCCCGATAATCAAAGCAAAAAATACCCTTTTTAAATAGAGGTAAAAACAAATGCTTGAGAGGTGCAATCAATTCGTTGTTGAATGAGATTCAATTATTTATCTTTTACCCATATCAGACGGTTTATATTAACGCCAAAGATATTTCATTTTTGTTGTGGAAATTGAAAATTAAGAATAACATTGATAAAAAATTTTGAATACTCAAATTTGGCAATGTTGGGTAGAATGAAAAGAAAAAAGCATCAACCTTAGACTTCACGTTCCGCTATATAGATAACGTTTTCTCACTGAATGAGGCTGTTGCTAAATGAGTTTGTTAACAATATTTAACACACCTATGTACTTGAAATAGAAAACAAAATGACAGATACAATTGAAACTGCCTCATATTTTGATTTACAGCTATACATTGACAACGAGGGTCGTGTGAGTACAAATCATTACGACGAAATAGATTTGTTTTCAATCAAATTGTGATCGTTTCATTTTTATGAAGCAATACTACAGCATCGCCTGTATATGGAGTTTTCATTTAATACTCGTCCGTTCTGTAATCGACGTCCTTCTCGACATATAAGTCCCTTTAGTATCTTCCTCTTTTTTTGTACAGTTAACAAATGTGCATAAATATACAGCTTGTATCTTTTTTTTGATATATTAATTGAATGCTGACAATGAGAGACAGCTACAATCTGTTATGATAATAGAGTAGCATCTAATAGAAATCGATTTTATACATTTTTTTTTCAATACATCTGTTAACCTTTTTCTGTTTGAAAAAATCTCTACGAAAAGTCTGTAACTGTATGAAAATAAGAACTATACACAACAGACAAAACATCATCTTTTATTTCGTATTCAATGTTCAAAAATCAATTAAAGTCTTATAAATGTCCATGTATACGTGCCCTTTCATAAGGTCGATTTTTCTCAGGCGCAGCCCATATATGATACCATATTACTTTAAATGCTAACAATGTTTGAAGTGAGGCTCCATTTGCTTTATCGTTTTCTTTCCTGATTAATCGTGTCAATTTTTTGTCCCAATGTCTTTGCTAGCTCTTAAGCGAATTTCATTTTTTTTAAATCTTTCAATCTCCCAATTATTGAGTCATAATGCATTGATAGGAAAGCAGACATGTAACGGAACGATCAGACTTCTTTATTTCTCATATAAATGTTTATTTGTATGCTAAATCTTCCTAAATTTTTTTTTTTTATTGAAAAACAAATATTGTTTCTAAAACCATTGCAATAAAATATATTTTTCTTTTTTACTTTGTAGCCTTATGTAAAGAATTTCAACCATAGAGCTAAATTTCTATTTACAAATTCCAAAGATAATACGTCCAGTAGTGCCTCTGATACTGTGTCACAATTCTTATCAATAAATGAATAAAACTCATTGCCACAGAGAATACGCATTGGTGACCTGTGAGATTTATTTACTTTATCATCTTTACAAAATTAAAACTCTCCACCGTGGCCTGCTTTCAAGAGCATTCTGGCCTCTTTTATTCTTTACATTAACATCACAGTTATACTTCGTTAGTATATCTATAACCTCTATATCTCTTTGTCTAAAAGCTCCAAAATAAGGTGTTTCGCCTTCATTGTCAACATGGTCAATGTCACATCCTCTCTTTAGGAAATATTCTATAATATGCACATTCCCTCCTCTACATGCCGCATGTAGAACACTTTTTCCAAACACATCTACAGCATTTATATTGCAATCATGGGCATGCAAGAATTCAACAACCTCTAAAATACTATGTTCACTAGCATAATGCAATGCATTTCGACCGTTAGCATCTTTAATATTTATGTTGTAGTTATGTTGTAGAAACACATGCACAACACTCCTACTACCTGAGACAAAAATTGGTGGAATTGGTGATTTGTTCATGCAGACAAATTGGACTCTCTGCACTTAATGATGACTTTTGATTCGTTTCAATCATTTCGTTCAACAAAATATCAACTATAGTTGGATAACCACTTTCAGCTGCCCTGTGTAGTGCAGTAAAACCTTCCCAATCAGCAATAGCTATGTTTACATTATTTTGTAACAAAAGTTCAACAATTCCTTTCCGAATCAGTTCATTGCAATCTGAACATTCATCCTTTGTTGTATCTATGTAATGTTTGACTACATTATTATTCGACAGTATGTCATCTTTTTCATCTTCATCAGACCAAGGTTCATCCTCGTCATCTACAACTTCTTTAAAGCAGGCTTCATGCAGTGCTGTTCTGCCATTGTTATCAGTGATATTTACGTCACATTTTGCTGTGATCGTTACTTTCATTATATCTTTATGACCAGTTTTAACAGCTTCATTCAGACGAATTACACTAAACTTATCACATGCATTAATTTCACAATCATATTTCAGAAGAATTTTTACAACATCAAGATTAGCATATTTGCAAGCAAGTATTAAAGGAGTTTGTTTAAGTAAGTCTAATTTGTTAATCTTACACCCTCTTTCCAATAATAATGAAACAATTTCTATGTTTCCCTCGCTACAAGCAACATGTAGGGCAGTCTGCCCTCCATTATCCTCTAAATCAACTTTACAGTTACAGTCAAGTAAATATTTAACGATATCTGTATGCTCGTAGTAACATGCAGTCATTAAGGGAGATTTGAGATTCGCATTGACAAAATCAATATCATATCCATATTTGACAAGAGTTTGAACTATCTCAAAATAACCTTCTTCACAAGCTGCTACTAAGGGGGCATTGTTTTGTTTGATCCGACAATCATTCCATACACGGTAGTCAAAGTCAATGAACATGTCTTCCGTTGATATTTCAAAACTGCTTTCATCGCAAAAATTAGTCGTGTTTGTAGTTGTAACTCCTGTATTTGGATGTAAATCTGATGCTTTTCGTTCCAGCAAAAACTGTATAAGAATACAACATCCATATAATGATGAGAGATAAAGAGGCCATTTGTTTTGTAGCATTATTTTCATGATGTCTTCCTTTCTAGAGAAAAAAATTATGAATTTCTCTTGATATGATTTAAAATGAGATTGTTTGTTCCCAAATACGTAGTGAAAATTCTTTCTGTTTATCTCCATTATCATACGACTGAAGTACAAGTGATCCGAGCTCAGGGGTATCATAATGGTAAAATCATCGTGTTCTTCATGTATTGATTCAAACTGTATCCTACTTGCAATAAACCCTGGAGACGCATATTTCATAACAACATTCGTCATTTTCTTCCCAAAATATAGGGCAAGTAACTCAAAAATTTTGCCATGCTTGCTCGTTATAATTGTTGAGTCATAAAAAGAACGTATTGTATAAGTGTCAATCAGGGTGTTTAAACTGGCAAGGACATGTAATTTGGAAGGACGATTTGATAGGCCTAAACATTCAAAGACTTCTTCAAATATCTTGTTGAATTCGGTGTCAGTATTTTCATCTTGAAAAACATTTGTGTTGATTCTGTCATTATATATAACTAACAACGCTAGTCCCAAGAAACATCCCTCATTTTGATACTGCATCTGATCAAACTGTTCTTTGAAATATTGAATTGGACATTCGAACATTCTAAAGTCTTTGTTTTCAGACTTACCAAACATACCACAAAGAAATGGAAACATGTCTAGACCATTTATGATACCCCTGCTTAGTTTATCAATATGCTCTTGGTTCATATGGAACGTGGCAATTTTTTGTGATTCAACATAAGTGCTAGCAAAATCTTTCGATAGTAAACTGCATTCTTTCAATATCAATTTTGTTGATAATCTTTCAAACTGTGGATTTTTGGTAATCTGCAATCTACATGTAACCAAGATTCGAAAGTGCTCATTGTCCTTTATAAATATTCTTATCTTATTGGAAACTCTGTCCCAGAGATTTATCAAATATTGGTCTACAGAATATATTCCGCAAAGATCATCAATGACTAAAATTTGAATATTCTCTTTTGAATAATACTTGTCAATATCATTTGGATCCGAGATCGGCAAGATCTGGTAACCTTCATGCTCTTGCAAATGTAATGCAACATGATGTGCAATAGCTGTTTTGCCCATTCCAGAGTTACCTGATATAATTGTGAAAGTGTTTTTTTTAACAACATCTAATATTTTCCTGGAAGCTGTCGTTTCAAAGAATTTTTCGTCATCCTTCTTCCAATTTTCTATTTCCTTCTCAAACAAATCTGTAATGAATTATGCTTTCATAAATAAACGTTTTGAACAGCTTTGAATTTATCATATAGATATCTTTCTATACCCCCCCCCCCCTCCCCCCATGAAGTTTATTGAATTATAATATGAATCATAATATTCAAAAAGAGTGCACACGATTAAATACTCGCCTTCTGTACTGACCATTGATTTTATGTTGATAGTCATAAATTCAAATTCCAATGGGGACTAACTGTGCACCACTTATTGCGGACCTGATTTTGTATTGTTATGAGTTACAATTAATGACTAAAATCAGCAAAGACCCATCAAAACAACATCTGATACAAAAATTAAACAATACTTTTAGATATTTGGATGATATATTGGCTCTCAATAATGACGACTTCAGTATGTATACTAAATAAATTTATCCTGTTGAACTTACTTTAAATAAAGCTAATACTAACAATGACCACTGTCTTTTTCTCGATCTTGATATCTATATCATTAACGGGAAGCTTAATACAAAAATTTATGATAAAAGAGATGATTTTTCATTTCCTATCGTTAATTATCCATTTTTAGATGGTGACGATCCCTTGTCACCATCTCATGGTGTTTATATATCTCAACTTGTACGATTCGCTCGTGTATGTAACAACGTATTAGATTTTAGCGAGAGAAATTTATGTATTACTGAAAAATTATTACACCAGGGTTTTCGATATCATAAACTAGTCAAAACATTTACTAAATTTTATCATCGGTATAAGGACATCATTCGTAAATATAACTCAACATGCAGACATCTTATATGTTCGGGTATTTCACATCCAATCTTTTATGGTAATATTCTTTACAAAGCACAAAAATGTCAGTATTCACCTCAAAAGCTAACAAAACCTTTAAAAAGACTTATTAAGAAGGGATATAGTTACGATACAGTTGTCAGGTCATTAAAGATTGCATATTTTGGCTTTAATATTGATTCACTTAGAGGGTCTTTGCATTGGAATTAAACATATTTATTCTAAAACCAGTTGTTGGCATGACACAGGTTATGTTCTTCTCATATATTTTATGATGGTATAATACTAAACCCCTAACAGGAGGGATTGTGCCTGATATTCATATGATGAAGAAATAATCTTTCAATCAGTTTAATTGAGGTCTGGAGCTGGCATGTCAGTAACTGCTAGTAGTCTGTTGTTATTTATGTATTATTGTCATTTTGTTTATTTTCTTTTGTTTCCTATTCTGATATCGGACTCGGACTTCTCTTAAACTGAGTTTTACTGTGCGTACTGTTGTGCGTTTGTTTTTTCTACATTGGCTAGAGGTATAGGGGGAGGGTTGAGATCTCAAAAAACAGGTTTAACCCCGCCGCATGGTTGCGCCTGTCCCAAGTCAGGAGCCTCTGGCCTTTGTTAGTCTTGTATCATTTTTAATTTTAGTTTCTTGTGTATAATTTGGAGTTTAGTATGACGTCCATTATCACTGAACTAGTATACATATTTGTTTAGGGGTCAGCTGAAGGACGCCTCCGGGTGCGGGAGTTTCTCGCTGCATTGAAGACCCATTGGTGGCCTTCAGCTGTTGTCTGCTCTATGGTCGGGTTGTTGTCTCTTTGACACATTCCCCATTTCCATTCTCAATTTTATAAATAGAAAGTTTCACTACAAGTATCACATTAACGTACCCTGATTCAAGAAAATAAGGTCAATACCAGATCACCAAGACAAGAAAACATGTACACCCAACAACTATTCCTTACACCGAATAAAGTTAACCTTTTGATTATAGAATACAAGAAACAGACCAAACCATAAAAAAAATTTATAAAGACCATTGAACATTAACAATGAGGAAAAGGTCAGAAGAAACTTGATAGACTCTTTTAGCTTACAATTATTCCATGCATCAACTATAGTTGACTAATTGCTTATAGTATCTAAGAAACAAACTTAACCAGGAAAACTTGTTATTGACCAATGAACCATGAAAATTTGTTATTGAATAATGAACCATGAAATTTTATCATTGACCAATGAACAATGAAAATGAGGTCAAGGTCAGAAGTAACATACCAGACTGACATATCATTTTACAATAATTCCTTACACCAAATACAGTTTACTTATTACATTAAATATTAGAAAAAAACAAACCAAAACACAAAACCTATCGTTTATCACTGTACAATGAAAATGAAGTCAAGGGAATATGACACCTGCAAGTATGACATGGACATAAACATTCCATACACAAAATTTAGTAGACCTATTGATTGTAGAATCTGAGATATGGACTAAAATCACGAAAACTTGTTCACTGATATATGAAATGAGGTCGAGGTCAAGTTAAACTGTCGTGTCGAACAGACATGAGGATACACATACTAAAAATAGTTATTCTATTACTTATAACAAGAGAAATATTTACATTACAAAAATTCCAAAAATCTTAACTTGAAAGAGTCACAAAACTATTGAAATGAGGCAAATGACAATGAACATATTACTTAAGACAAACGGAAATGTCATAACATAAGGCATCTATACATGTATATACAAAATAAGAAGCCTTTTGTACCTTCTGCAGTATTAAGCTTTAAAGTAATTAATTAACACCGGAAACGGTACGGGTTCACTATCCTTATGCTCGACAAAACAGTAATCATTGTACAATAAAACATTTTGCATCTATCGTCCCAAATGAAAGCAATATTGTATGCAGGAATGATCGACAAATCCTTGAACTTCTATGTCATTTAAGCAACACGATTTGAATTTAAAGATCTTACTCGGTAGCAATCTGTCTTCTTTTTCTATCTATCTGATAATATTTTGTTATTTCGTCGTTTTTTGTCGTTTTTGTTGCTATTGTATTATCGATAGATCTTATGAGATGTTATTTTTCCTTTGGTACTTTCCGCTTCTTTTCCGCAGCCTGTGATCCAAATTGACTGAATTCAAAACTGATATAACCACAAGGACGAAATGTCAGTCACATGTTAAGTTGACCAATATTTTGCAAAACCTCATCAATAATGTAGTACACATGGAGCATGTTTCGTCTTTCGTAATTTTGGGATTCTGATAGGACACTGAACAATGCTGAATAAAAGATGAGGGAAGGCAACATAGATCTAGTGCTTGTAAAAGTCTCGTCTTGTATCAAGCTTAAAAGGTGTGTTGGCTTTTTGTGTACTTTTCCAATCTAAAAAATTATTTCAACATGGTGTTTGACATTGGCCTTCTAACTTATTATTTCGAGTGACACTTATATTTCTTATATATACTTCACGCGCATCTGGAATGAAAAATTATAAACGTTGTATCTCCGATTAGTTCTTCATATTTATTTACTTCTTCTTACCTTTCGATATCACGTTAATCTGAGGAGAGTTATTTCAGAAACACATCTGTTTTTTACACGTAAATAAAATATATGCAATTTGTTGAAATACTACTTACCCCTAATATGTTTTGGTAAAGGGTCATTCTGTTGTGCTTCAATTAAGCTCAATTTGTCTGTTACCTCTACTAGCTTTTCTTCTACATCTGTAAGTCTATTTTGTATACGAATAAATTGGAGATATTCTGCTTTTTCTGATTCAGAAATCGGCATTTCTTTCAATGCAATAATTTCCCCACTGAATGAGCTACCACCAAGTCGTTGCACAGCCTAAAAATAGTTATCATATTTTTTGTAAAAGAGGGACGAAAGATACCAGAGGGACAGTCAAACTCATAGATCGAATACAAACTGACAACGCCATGGCCAAAAATAAAAAGACAAACAGACAAATAATAGTACAGATGACACAACATAGACTTCAACTTCACCATTTGGAACTCTTGGTTTAATAGCTTCCTTGTGAGCAGCAATCCTCTATCAAGGAAATCATGATAGGAAACACAAGCCCGGGAATATCGTATCAATTGGGAGATATATACTCCGTATGCAGGCGCTGCTGGAATGTTGCTACATAAAAATGGAAAGTTCACAATTGGGAAGCTGAAATCATCTCTTTTGTCGTAAAGTTTTGTTTTCAACCGACCCTCATTGTCAATTTCTAGATGTAAGTCAAGATATGAGGCAGACTTAACTGTATCTGTAGTTTCCTTTATCTCTAGTTCGATGGGATAGATTCGTTCAACATAGTCACCAAATTTTGTATTATTTAGTTAGAAAACATCATCTTTATAGCGGAATATTGTAAGGAATACATAACAAATATGTTTGAAATTGAGTGATACGGAAAAATATCGTATAATGGTTTAACAAAATGTATTTTACACACTAAGTCTATTGTTTAAGAAAGTATCAATAATAACGGAAATGAATACAACTTTCCATACTCTTCATTTCAATATAATATAACATATTTGAATGTAGATTTCATTTTGAGAAACATAAATATCTAAATATTAAGCACAATATTCTAATACAAATTATTATTCTTTCATAATGACATCTACTATTAGGGTCTGGAGGTAAGGAAGAGGTTGAGGCTATTTTTCACTATGCTTTTAATAGTTTGCCTATTATTCTTCATCCTGTATCTTTCAGCACATTGTTTTTATTTGTTTTATTTTTAGGCCTTCATTTTACATTGTTTGTTTTAATTTGTCATCCACAGGCATACCCTTTATTATTGAACATTTGCTCTGCTTTTCGTTTTATGGAGCACAAAAGTATCCTAAAAATGTATTTGCCTTCACTTATCAAATTAGACTAAACTGTAATTCTTATTGAAGAGAAATAAAGGGTCCATTAGAAACATTTGAAGGTGCTATAAAAGTTATTCAGTCACATCAAATTAATTCCTTGTGCATTATCTGAGCATACTTTTATGTGTCGATGTCAGAAATTATCCGTTTGTGTTATTTCATTAACAATTAACATTATGTTTTTGGGGCTTTCTTTCCTTGATCAACATGCAGTTTCTCTAAAATTGTGTTCATTCTACCAAGCATTTTTCCTGTTTGTGTTTTTGGACGTTTAGTTGCATTTCTCTGTTTAGTTCGAATTCCTTGTTTGTTAGATTTCGTCTCTTTTGTTTAACAGCAAATTACATGAGCTGTGCATTTATAACTTTTTTGTTTATCAATTGTTGTGTTTAATACAGTTAAGGTAAGGAACAGTATATGGGCTGTATCGCAGTTTTTGAATACAACTTTGCGTCGTTGAACTACAACTGAAAATCGAAAAAATAATTCGTTTATCTTTTATTATGGGTGCATATTTTTATAGAAAGCACATAAAATTGTCTCAAAATCCCGTGAATCTCTTCATAGATTTTTCTTAAAAACTATATGATGTTGACACTTAAATTTCTCATTTATTGATATAAAATAATCATATGGTTTTCGTTTTTTGTCTAACAATCAATTTGTTACCTTTTTGGTAGTGAAACACGTCAAAAATCAACGTTTCACGACCTGCAACGCGGTGACGTTACGATTATTTCGACGTTTTGTTGGATTTTTTCACAAAGAACACAACTTTGAATTCTGTATACCGTTAAAAAATAAGCCGGTGACACTACCTTTATTCTGCATCATTAAAACGGAAATTTATGAATCAAGAACATATAACTTTTTAAAGAAAATCTCTGGAGTAGAAATCCGAAATGTGATGATTTTAAGACAAATTGTAGAAGGTTTTTCGCCAATTTTAAGTGCCTCCTGTACAAATGTTCACCCATTTCGTAAGAATTCAATCAATAAAATATAAATGATAAATGAGATAAATGCATTATTTCTTTCGATTTTCAGTTGAAGTTCATAGAGTTGTATGCGAAATTTTACTGAAATATATGACACAGCCGTTTTAATGTAGCTTGACCTTCAATAAAATATCATCAGAACAGCTGTTCACATGAAAAGATTTTGATAAATGGAGATGGAATAAAAACTGTCTAGTTAAACCATAAAGAGGTTCTTCATATGCTTTTTTGTCTGTTTTTGATTAATTTTTACCAAACAGATAATCTTCGTATTTAATTTATTGATAATCTCTAAAACATTCCAGGGAGTTGATAAAATAACTGCTAAAATCGTCAGTGATTATGTAGAATAAAAAATGTGTAATACATATGCCGTAAGATAACAGAAAATAAACTTTTTTTTTCTTGATATGTAATTGGAGAAGTTTTGCGTCAACCCATGTTCAGCATAACAATATTTTGTGAAATTACCATGTTAGCTGGTAAAGCTAGATAGACCATTAATTATTATTATATAATGTATGTCATTGTTACAGAAAAAAGATATAGGAAGATGTGGTATGAGTGCCAATGCGACAACTCTCCATCCAAGTAACAATTTATAAAAGTAAACAATTATAGGTAATGGTACGCCATTAATATAGGTCTTGGATTGATTTAATCGTTCTGCTTTATATATTAGCTAACAGCTGCTTTGAGGCTTTTTATTATAAGATGATTTAAACATTTTTGCTAATTAGCCACCAGAAATAATTTTCTTAAGCATGAAATTAAATATGATTGTCTTTACTCATGCAATTGGGTCCTAATTAATCAGTCTATTGCAATTCGTTTGTAACGACAATTTTCATTGGACGTTGACAAATATTTTGCAGGGGTAAATTCCACGTTCTACCAGTCTGTAACCAAAAAAGCCGCCATTTTGAATTCCGATTTTTTTTTGTATGTAATTTCTCACAAAATAAACATGTAAGTTACATATAGAGCGTCAAAATCTACTTTTTTCAACGTTGAAACCATTCTAAAGCGAACGAAAGTTATAAATACGTTCAGTGTTTATATTTGACATCGTAAGTATACATATGACTTCACATTATTTAGTTGCTAAAGACAATGCAACAGTTTCGCGGACTTTTTCATTTATGTCATTTTACGTCAAAATATTTATCAAATGGTATTTTTTTATATGTTGCATTAGAATGGAGATAACTGTATTGTATTTTAAGCCTTCGTAAAACTTGATTTACTGTCGCAAATATTCGTTTACCTAGCTCCGCTACGCGTCGCTAGGTAACTCAATTTGCGACAGTAAAATCTACGTTTTACGAAGGCCAAGCTTAAAATACAATACAGTTATCTCCTAATTTTATTCTTTTTAACAGAAACGGGTTCTAAACTTGGCAAATACTTTAAAACTTAAATAACATTAATCAACTTACAAATGATCGTGTTTCCTTCATCGAAACATTTCATTATGCGAGTATAACTTATAGTTCGGTAACATATTAACCCGAATAATTCAGTCGTTATATTCCGCTGATCTATGATTACTCCATTAACGCCTGAATCCATAGACAATGAAAAATCTTCAATCAATCGTTCGGAATTAGCTATTGATTTACATATCTCGATAAAATTGAGCTGATTGCTGATTGGTCACCTCTTCTACAGGGTACCAATCAAAATCTAGGATTCGTGAAGAGTTTTTATCGTGTAAGGAATTCAGGCCCTCGCAAGTAGGAGAGATCGATTACGGGGAGGGACTGAATTATTCGGGTTAGTAACATATATGGCATAACAAAATCATTTTCTGGCCGCCATTTTGTGTACGGTAAAATAAAACCTTATAACATAGGCGTTCAGCTAATTGAATCCTGACATTACCTGTGCTATATCTTCCCAGTAATTATTGAAATCATTATCTTCAATGATAAAACTGTTCGTGTGGGCAATTTCATTTCTATAATGATGTATTCTGGATAAATCGTCACCAACATTGATTTGTGTACTAAAGGGAAGTTTATTGCTGATCTGTAAGTCTGTAAAATTTCGGATCAGGCATATCATCAGAGTAATGTCAAACTCTTCTGAATTACTTGAACATTGGTGTATAGATATTTCAATAGAAAATAGACTTTAAAAATAAACATGAATGAGTCTATGCACATTCATGAATATTTCAAAATAACTGTCCTACCTCAATGTAAATCCCGTCGCACTTAGTGCTTAAAAAAATCAATTGCTGATATACTAGTAGATAGAGGAAAATGTGATATGAGTGCTAATGTGACAACTCTCCATCCAAGTCACAATTTGTAAAAGTAAACCATTATAGGTTAAAGACCGGCCTTCAACACAGAGACTGGGATCACACCGAACAGCCAGCTATAAAGGATATCCATAATATCAGTGTTAAACCATTCAAACAGGAAACGTACGCACTAATCTGTATGAAAATTCACTAATGAAATCCACGTATACTCCCATGACATGCACTCGAAAGGACATCATAGTCTGCTCTATTTCTTATTTAAGTGACGAAGAACTGAACCATTCTTTTTTCTGGATGCCACCAATTGCAAAAACAAATGTTTATTTCACAGGGTTGTCAAGTGATGAACCTTTTTTCAAATTGTCAACGTAAATTGTATTAGCGGTCAAAGATGCTTCACACAAGTATCCCTCATTTAAAACTTAAAAGACGAGCTAAAATCATTGGTACTAACACCTCTTTTATCCCGGTGAAATTGAAAATAGAAAGTAATAAATCCTATGATAAATATATATAAGGACGTTAATCAAAAGGGAAGTAATGCATATAGTTAACTGATTAATTATAGATAGTCACATCACAATCATAAATGTTCAATAGATCAAAAGTTGGCACAATAACAACGCTTTTAAAGATTTTCCTCGTCTCAGAGTCATTATAAGGTTTTCAGCAAAATTCAAAGGCAAACATTTCATATCGATAAAAATGGAATCCCCTTCATGTTGTACGAAATATATATTTATTTTAATTCAAATCTTCACAAACCTTGAGATGGAAACAATAATGTCCACTGATGATGATCTATTCTGTTTGTCCTTTGTAGTTCTCGAAGCTTACCAATTTCACTGTTGATAGTTGCTTGTAAACAATCAGGATGGAACTCTACATCAAACGTGAGTCGAACTGCACGTTGTGATATTTTGTATATTAGAAGACCTAATTTAATGTAATTGGATTCTCGACTTGATATTCCTGCTCCCATTAAATCACCTGAACGATTTGTCTATAAATCTAAAAAATCAACATATACTAATATAATTTGTATTCTATACAAGTTCTATATGAATGTGTCAGACACATTAAAATCAGCACCAAACTGTCTTTATAGTTGGTATGAGCACTTCGTATCAGTTTCTGATTGAAAATACAAAGGCTTCACTTTAGAAATCTACACTGCCATGCTATAGCAAGTGTGCTAAAAGTGGCGTCAAATATCAGCAATTTACAAATGAATCCTCTCAAAGATTAAAATCCATACTCACTTCTTAGGTTTTTTTTAAATTAGAAAAAAAACGTGCTCGCAGTAAAATAAGAAAGTATTTTTACGTAGGAAATAAAATTGTGTTTTTGTTCACTCTAATCTATATTATTTAATTGAAGTCTACACATATACAGATTCTAAATAAATTTATTACACTTATTCCTATCCTCCCATCGTCAATTTGAAAATACAAATAAAGTGTCATCTCCTAGTATCCTACTTCTATTATGAGAACAAAGTGGTCAAGTAACAGTTTTTTTGGGAATGTGACCATATGCAAGGTTGATTTGTTAAAAAAAAATAAAAGCCGAAGACGGGAATTGAAGTACTACAAGATTTAAGTATGAATGTAAGGTTAGAGGATACAGTCATGTAATTTAAAACAGCACACTTTTTCCTTTTAATCCTTTTCCGATATGAGTTTTGTTGAAATATGTTTTAAATGCAGAACAGTATTTGCTAACACATTCAAATGCATCGTCTATACCTTTTTGAATAAACAGAACGTTACAGTCGTTCCTTTTAAGCGATATAAAATATAGTGTATGAAAGCATATCAATTGTTGCGAAGTCTTATGCGCTTAATTGTGTACCGTCTTCGGGTTTTCTCAGAGCCAAAAATTTGGACAGATTAAGAGAGAAAAATACAGGTTGGGGTAAACATGAAAAAATGGATTCAAAATAAATAACCAAACTGTCTACGAGCAAAATACAAATGTTAAAAATTTTAAGGCATATTCTGACTTTTTTTTTATATCAAGTATCGAGCTCTGGAAAAAGTACTCTTCGCAAGGTCTTCGTGGAAAAAACTGGCGAAAACGCGTCAGGTTGGTCAAATAAATAAAGTGAATTGATTCCAGTTGTACAGCGCGCGAAACATCACACTTTTATGGCAATCTTGTCATGTTTGTTATCAAGTATACATGTTTCAAGGAGTCAATGTCTCAGTGTTGTGCATATGTTTTTCTTACATCTAAACCTACGCACTGGTGTATTTATTCACACGCACAGCCAAACGTCCGTAATTAGACAAGAGAACTGAAGGGCGTTTGTATTGGCATCGGCCAGCAAAAGTGTTATTTAGCTTAAAATATATAGATTTTTTATTGATAATTTCTTATTATTTGAATGATCGACTGATAATGTATGTGTAGTAGCAATTAAAGCGCATCATTTAGGAGAATTTTTAGTTAAGGCTCAAGTTTAATCTATTTTGTCCATAAAACTGTGTGGTAAAAGGCCACATTAGATCAAACTTGTCAATTTCGACATGATAATGATAGCATAGTGACTCATTCATGTTCTTTAAAATCAAAGATTTTATCGACATAATTTGAAGACTTGAAAAAAGTATAACAAAAATACCAAACTCCAAGGTAAATTCAAAAACGGGAAGTCCATAAAAAGTGACAAAACCCTATCAATCAACGAGACAAAAGAAAAACAACTGTCATATTCCTGACTTGGTACAGGCATGATCAGGAGAAAATGATGGGTTAAAAGAGAGGCGAAAGATACCAGATGGATATTCAAGCTCATCAGTCGAAAACAAACTGACAACGCCATGGCAACGAAAAAGAGAAAAGACCATAAAACAACCAACAGTATATCAAATACAACATAGACAACTGAATTATGAGCAACACGAACTCAACCATAACCCGGGGGTGATCTCAGGTGTTCCGGAGGGTAAGCAGATTCTTCTGCACAGGTTTTATATCTAGCTTAACCTTTCACGTGTATGACAATTGTTTATAGTTCCGTTATAATGAAATAATATTTACTAATATCGCAATTTAAGGGGCCAAACCATTACTCTTATAGTATTTCCTCGTTTGTTTGAATAAATAAGTTGAAAAGTTGGAAAAAACTTAACGAAAAGTTTTCGAGGTTCCTAAATAACTTTGTTGCATTAAAATTTTATAATATTAGCTCGTTAATTCAATCATTGTATCTAAAATAATAGTAACCTACCTTTTCGGTGTTTATCGAGCTCCTTTAAAAGTAATCAAATGCACTACTATATAAAAATATTTATGTATTTCATCAAAATTGATAGACAGTTATTTGTCATTTTAAAACGTTTGATTTACCATTTTAATGGTTTAAATGTTACCGTATCAAATTGATTTTTGTGTTTCTGATCACTCTAATCTTAATATTTTTATTTGAAGTGTACACATATACTCACTATATATAAAAGTATGTCATTTTTTCTAATCCTCCTATCGTCAATTTGACAATACAAATAAAGTGTCATCTCTTAGTATCTTACTTCTATTATGAGCAAACATTGTTTAAGTAACAATTCATTTGTGTATGTGATTATACACAATATTGATTTCTATAACAAAAAAAAATCAAGTCAATGACGGAAATTGAAATACTAAAAGATTTAAGTGTCAATATAATGTTAGAGGATAGAACAAAAATAATTCAAAACTTCATACTGGCATATTCAACAGTTGCATATATACCTGTTCAAATCAACAGAACGTCAAGGTCATTCCTATTATCGATGTCGTTTACAAACTTTGGAAGGCTATTAATATTTACTATTATTGAAATTTAAATCGTCTAACACATTACTCTCATCGCATTTCCTCCTTTGTCTGAATAAATAATTTGAAAAAGTGAAAAGAATCTAAATTAAAGTGTTTGAGATTCCTAAGTTCCTTTCTTATATTTATAATAGTAGCTTGTTTATTCGGTCATTACATCGTTACTATCCTACCTGTTCGGTGTTACTTGAGCTCCTTATAAAGTACAGTAAATAAAATCACCAAGCCTACAACTATATATAGAAATTTATGTATCGTATCAAAGTTGATCAACATTAACTTCTCTTATCAGAATGTTTGATTAATCGTTCAAGTGTTTTAAATGTTACCGTATTATATATATATTGAGCATCAATGGAAACGCAGCACCTTCGTGAATTTTTAATTCACTGACTATCCAAACAAACCGATATTCTTTGTCATGGATTTTAATAGATGTCTGTGATTGTGCATACATTACTAATCTGGAAACTTTAAAGTGACCATTTCCGAAAAAGGTTAAATGAACTTATACCACTTCTTCTTATATCTTTTAGAAATTTAAATGGCATAGTTAACCCATATTGAATCCCTACATCAAATGATATAAATTTTAGAAATTATCCTTTGCAAATGGCCCATGGAGATAATATTTGTATTATAAATTGTAAAATTAAATTATATGTATTCCACGTATTACGTTTTCTTCAACACAAACAAACACTTTTTTCATTTATGTATCGGAGATGAAGTTCTATCATTTTTTATATCATTATTATTCATGGAAAAAATAAGAAGGTACCAAAGGAAGAGAGAAATAAAAATCATTCATTGAAAATAGACTGACAAAATAATGACTCAGTGTCTCAATTCACTGTCAACATGTTTTTGTTGTCGAACATCTTTTTAAATAGTCACCCAGTATTTAAATTTACCGATTGTGTCATATTCCCAATTGTGACATTTTGGATTAGTGTGCGTTTATCTGAATGAAGTTGCATGCTTAGAA